ATTTTAGCCGCCTTAACCCTGTGCTGTTGGGATGGAGAAAAGGTGCTTTTATTGTTGTTCACGTCCCCAGGACGTATGTATCTCATAACCAGAAGCCTGGAGCCCTTGACGCCTCCCCCCACTTGGCCCCACCTGATCGCCCACAACTGCCCTTCCCTGTTGGGGGCGACCAGGCCAGCAGGGGAGGGCCATTGGGTGCATTAGGCAGGCAGGTGAGTGGTTAGGAGCCAGCGATCCTGGATTTCGAGAGGGATGTCTGACTGCTGGTTTAGTCCCGCGATCCCCTGTGGGATCAAAACTAAACCGGCAGTCGGACATCCCCTGAGGGGTCCCTGAATGGAGAGGGTGCAGGCTGGGCTGAGGGACACCCCCCCCTCCTGTGCACGAATTCTGTGCACTGGGCCTCTAGTAGCAATAATAATAGTAATAATAAGGTGATTTTCATTCATCAATTCCACTCCTGGACATATATGAAAAGGAACGGAAAGCAGTGTCTGGAAAAGGTGAGTGTGCACTCCTATTCAGAGCAGCATCCTTCACAGGACGGAAGCTGGAAGCGACCACGTGTCCATCGGTGGGTGAATGGATAAGCCATGTGTCCCCCCGCACAGTGGGGAACTATCCCGCCTTCAGAGAGGGGGGATTCCCACACCCGCATGGCGAGGATGGACCAGCGGACATTGTGTTGAGCAAAAGAAGCCACTCACAAAAGGACCAATCCTTTATGGTTTTACCAAAATTAATTAATTTTTTTTTCCCAGCGATTGGAAAAGAGGGGAGAGAAAGAGAGAGAAACACATCGACCTGAGAGAGACACATGGATTGGCTGGCGAGGTACGTGCCCTGGACTGGAATTGATTGAATCTGAGACTCTTCAGTCTGCAGGGCGATGCTCTATCCACTGAGCCAAACTGGCCAGGGCCGCAATTAATTTAAAAGATTTTAAACTTGATTCTTGGAGAGGAAGCGAGAGGGAGAGAGAGAAGCATAATAGCAATAGGCTGCCTCCTGCACGCC